CTACTGGGCATCACACCCGTTAAATAAATAAATAAATAAATAATAAAATAATAAAATATTTTTTTAAGCGATACGGTTTGTGTATACAGTTTACATAAACACAATGAGACAAAAAGATGACTATTGACTATATATTATTATTTTACGAGTAAATTCTATTATCGCGGTCACCAGAATACATATATTTAGTGCTCCAAAATCAAATCGTCGGTAAACAAGCCTTCAGGGCGGTTTCGTCCTCAAAAGGCACCATAATCTCTTACTGCGGGATAGGAGAACACAGTTGGGGCTTTGAATCGAAGTAATATTGGATTATACCACCAACATCAAAGGGCCAACAAATTCCTTTGATCCGCACGGAATTGACAGGAAATCACGTGAACTCCTTTGGGCGTTCCCAATAACTTATATTGTCCTATGACCTATATAAACGAAGCCCGGAGAAGTTATTAAAACTATTGATCCCCAGTAATCCATAGGTAAACGATATTTAATATAAATTATGTTAGCTGAATGTTATTGCATGCAGTTATTACAGCAATAAAATATTTTTACACAACGCGCATGCACATCATAGTACGTAACAACATAATCAAATACCAATATTCTTATATTTAATTACACAGCATTTATACAGTCTATACATTTAAGGTTTATTTCTTTACTATTTGTTTAAATATATTTATCACAACTATTTTTAATTTTTTTTAAATACACACGTTTGATGTATAAAGTTAATGAAATATTAAACGAATCTCAGAAGACTTATGAATAGGGCACGGATGATGTTGCATTTGCAACTTTTTTTCTACTTTTTCAATTAATTGCTAAGTAAGTTTTAAATACGTTTCATGTAAGTACGAATTCAAATCTAAAAGTTTAAAGTGCAATTTTTTGCAATTTTTGGGATTTTTTCAATTTTATTGCAATTTTGTCGAATTTACTCATTTATACAACTATTTTAGCAATATTTTACATTTTTACACATAACGGTCGTATGGATAAGATTATACCATAATATCTAAGCCATAAAACACAGTAATAGTGGTATCTTATCGAAATAAAGATAAAATCAAGTCGATAGGTATTTAATACAATAAATGTAATAGTGGTATCTTATCGAAATAAAGATAAAATCAAGTCGATAGGTATTCAATACAATAATTTGTGAAATGTGACTGACTGTATAATCTGTTCTTCAGTCACTCCGTGAATTTTGAACGATTGTGTTGTTACAGTGTTAAATAATATGCCGAAAATTAAACCAACTATTTCTACCGTTGTTAAAAATTACGTGTTAGAATTTGGAGAAGATGTATTTTCGTGTGATGAATCCGTACTTTTTTGTAAATTGTGTGAAACAAAAGTAAGTGCTGAACGGAGGTATACAGTTACACACCATATTGAAACTGCAAAGCATAAACGGGCAGTTAATCGAAAAAATAACACCAAAACCTCTACATCGCAACTTCAAGTAACGTCATTTTCCAAAAAATCAACATTTAATAAAGATTTGTGTAAGGCAATGTTATCCGCCAATATTCCATTACATAAAATCAATAACGATGATTTTCGTTTATTTTTGGAAACATATATGAAAAGAGATATTCCGAATGAATCTACATTGCGTAAAAATTACGTGAACGAAGTGTACTCAGATACGTTAAATAAAATAAGAGACAATATAAAGGGAAATAAAATTTGGGTCTCAATAGATGAGACCACAGATGTTAATGGGAGATATGTGGCTAACGTTGTGATCGGAACACTCCAAACTGACCAACCAGGAAAAGTGTATTTATTAAATACAGAAGTTCTCGATAAAGCAAATTATTCAACAATTACCAAATTATTCGATAAATCAATGTTCCTTCTTTGGCCGGATGGTATTCGTCATGATGACGTTTTCCTGTTTCTTAGTGACGCAGCTCCATATATGATAAAAGCAGGGACTACAATTAAAGCACTCTATTCAAAAATGGTGCATGTCACATGTTTGGCCCATGGCATGCATCGAGTTGCAGAAGTCATACGCGGAAAATTTCCTGAAGTAGACAAACTCATTGCTAAAATTAAACAAATATTTTTAAAAGCACCAAGCCGAACTATTCTTTTTAAAAATAAAGTACCAGATACACCATTACCACCACAACCTATTATCACGCGTTGGGGTACGTGGCTTGAGGCTGCATCATACTACTGTAAATATTTTAATGAAGTGAAAAGTGTAGTGCAAGAACTTGATCCTGATGAAGCCGTTTCAATAAAAATATCACAAAATATTTTTAACCATAATTCAACTTCAGCTGATTTAGCATTTATTCACTCAAATTACGGATTTTTGCCGGACGCGATTTTAAAATTAGAAAATCAAGGACTATCGGTAGTTGAAGCCATTAATATAATTCAAAATGTTCAAAATAAATTAGAAAATGTATTTGGTGAAATCGGGATTTCAATCCATGAAAAATATAAGATAGTTATTGAAAAGAATACTGGACTTAAAACCATTATTAAAATCAATGATATACTAACTGGACAAAGAAAATCGTTCGATGGTTTACCCGAAGACTTAACAGTAAGCGATTTAGCTTATTTTAAATACGCTCCGCTCACATCAACCGACGTAGAACGAAGTTTTTCGAGATATAAGAACTTACTAGCTCCAAATCGAAGAGGATTTGATTTCGAAAATTTAAAACAAACACTTATAGTACAGTGCAATGATGTATAATATAATAAATTTATAATGGCATGATTATAATGTAATGTATATATTTTTTTTTGATTATTTAAAATTTTAGATTATAATTTATAACAGTAAACTTAAAACATTTATAACAAAACGTTGTTATTTTTTAGTGCAATTTTTAATATTTTAAGTGCAATTTTTGATATTTTTTAGTGCAATACTGCAATCAATTTTACTATTTTTTTAGTACTACAACATCCGTGCCCTACTTATGAAGCATAATTTAAACCTTTAAGTCATTATGTTTTAAGGCACGTTTACAAATAGTATAGAAATCTTTTAAACCTACATTACTTGGATATAATATGGTCTGAATGACTAAAAGAAAAGATTTTTTTTAAAAATGTTTTCTCATAATTGTAATACTCAGTTATTATGCTTGTATTGTGTATGTCCTGTAATCATCCGATGCATTTAAAAATTGTGCTATAATTGCATATTTGAAAACAATTTTATATTTATCAAGTAATTAAATAAAATCACAATACCTATACATTAAATATATAATGTTGACGTCAATAAAACGGTAATAGCGTTACATGAGGATTTAGTTACACGTTTAGTCAAACATATTACAGATCACTTACGCGATTGACGTCAAAATATTATAATCATACTAAATTATTCAAAAATATCTAGCAATCATGTTATAAATGTTATTAAGTATTAACTATACACGTTATTACTTCTAATTATATCATTTAAAACAAAAAATGAAACAGCGCTCGATCATTTAAACAGGTATAGGACAGTCTTCCACGTTATGGTCAATCGAGTGGTATAATTTATTCCATATATTTATATGAAGTAATATTTATCTATTTGTACTTCACTTTCGTCATCTGCACAATATTATGGAAGGGTTAAATTTTGAATACAACGTAACGTTGACATACATTTTGCTAACTAATTAAATATTCACATATTTTTATTACACTCGGATATGACATAAGCATATCATCATCCTTGTACTTTTTATTTCTATATTTTTATTTGACATATAAATTACAAGTTTTTAATAGTTGACGAATAAAAGCAATGTGTTGCACAAAAATACGATATTACAATACATCCTTATGCGAATATTAATATAGTATAATAATATAATGTATACTTTAGAGTAAATTAATTAGATATGTAAAATAAAAATGTTGTGAACATCAATAAATTACGGTGTGTATAGAACACACACATATACATATATTTGTACAATGATTATATATGTTATTCATGGAAATATAGTATTAAACAAGTACTATAAATTGTCCGTTTTTAAACTAAATTCAATCTTTATGTGGCGTAGTATAGTCATTATAGTAATTATGAGTAGGTACTTACTACTTATATGTTAATTTGTATCCACGTTAGTAACCTTAATTAAATAAATATAGGTTCTTTGAGTTGAAATTTACATTTAAATCTGTGGTAATAAATAAAATCCACTCGTAACTAAACATATAACCTCCTTGATTGAACCTAAAATATGATTTTTGGTTGCACGCTTATTATATTTTAATAATTTAATGAAATTCTAAATAATTATGTTGTTTAATTTAAAATTAAAGTAATCATTAAAATTTAACTGGTTAATAATATTGATAATAAAATAATTATTTTAAAATATATATAGGTGCAAGCTATTTCAAAGCTATATAACACCGATCAGCTAAGAGCTATAAGTTACGTTTATCTATAAAGTCTTTATTATACTTGCATAGTATAATATATATCCTAATTCATAAAAGTGGATTTAAATAAAATAAAATAACATATATTATAAGGATAAATTGTATTTTAAATTTTCACGAGGTTAAAATAAATATAATTAAATTTAAATTAAGAAATAAACAAATTTTTTAAATTTTTAAAATGCTTAAAAAATATTAAGTACCTCGGTGGTTATTTCCAAATGTACCTATAATTATAAAAATGCGTATAAATAATAATTGAATGTACATCCATTGCCAAAGTAGATGCCTATTCAGTCTAAACAATTTATGTTACCCATAGGTGGTAAAATATTTTTAAAAAACATTCGACCTCAAAACGGTACATAAAGATATTTGTACAGCTTAATGACATAATAATATATAGGTACTTGTAACATGCATATCATCGTTATTATAAGTAACTGGTTGGAAAAATTCATTTCAAACATACTGTTATTGAAAAAAAAAATTAATCGAGCCGATATCGTAATATTATTGTTTTATTATAAATTATTATAATACTTGATTAACATTCTAACCTGGACTTGGCCGTGGTGAATGTCGTCCAATAGCGCCGGCGCATTCTCGTTGGACAAGGATCGGGTGGTGAGCTTTTTCCGCCTACGCTTGTGCATGGTAAGAAATCGGCCGTTGGGTAACCGTTTACCGTGATGCGCGACCGACTCGAGTAGTACCACTTCGCCCTCGGACAGCATTCGCGACCGTCTCCTGCACCGGTCATCTGTGGGCGAGTCGTCTGCAAAAGAACACGGTGAAATTAAAACAAACGCAATGCAATTAAAATATGTGGGTAGGTCACACAATATTATATAACGAACAGAGATGGGCGAAAAACAGGGAAATATGTACAACGGACGGGACTTTCGTTTGCATTCAGCTGTAATATCTTATTTTACTCGTGAACGGGGGGCTATTATAATAATGCTGTACACAAAATAAAAACATAAAAATAACAATACATTTCTAAACGCACACATTATATTATTATGTTATATAACATTATAACAGTACTAACTATTCCGTTGCACTGCACTTGCACCGCATACAACAGTATTATAATATTATACAAAATTATATGTCGGTTAATAGTTTTCCAGTATCTCACGCGACATGTGCAACTCGAATTATGCGCTTTTTCAATGTTACATAATCTACACATATCGACGAGGTTGTGTCAATAATTGTGCGCAGATATAATTTGCTTGCATAATCTCAAAGACGCTGGATTTGTGTCGTATGCAGATAAACGACTCTATCAGCTGCATAGATAGGGCTACCGGGAAGAATGCGCAAAAACGGTGTAACGATAAACAAAAAAAAAACACAACAAAAACATTGCGTAATATAATATTTGGACGATAAAATTATTGGCGAATAAATTATAAAAAAAATAGTTGCGCACGATAATTTTTTCGACACGTCGGAAATTCGTGAAATTTCATCGGGTTAAGGATATGTCGATGTAATGACGATGGCCGACGATGGCGGTACACCTAATATTATGACAAATCCGTACGAAGAACGTATTTCCGTATGGAAAATCAGTCACCGCGTTTTTACATTATACATATCCAGACGCTTAGATAATTCACTTCTCGCGATATAATATCAAAACACTGCACCTCAAACTTAAATAATATTATTTCCATATTATATACCGCAAGCAGAATTATAATATGGATGATGTATACACGTCCACGGCGATCCGCACAACGCGGTCTCGAGCCAACTTTCGTCTACTGCGCAAAGGGCCGAGAGAGTGCAGGGAATGAAACAAGCTAAAAAAAAATTCGACTCCGGAGGGGAAACTGTGCGTAACTTCTAAACAAGTTATACCCCCTCCCCCCTGCCCGTCACGACTATAAGCCATCGCTGCAGGAGAATCTGCCGAACGGCGTGCATACGGAATTAAATCGAATCGATATATATTATAACGTCAAAGCGTTTTACGATATATATATATATACACGCACAGCATTAAAACACTTAAACGACGGTCGTTGCGTTCGGCGGTACGAAGTTTGCTTAGGACGTCGTAACTACCCGACAAACACAGCAGCAGTCCCTCCAATATTAATATTATTATTATTATTATTATTATTATTATTATTATTATTGCCGGTATATATGTGTATACGTATATTCTGTTCGTCGACGCCCACTGCTGTGTCATTTCAAAGGATTTTCGTGCGGCGTAGGTTTGTATAATAATATTATATATGCTCGTACGTGTATATACACGCGCATTATAGTAGGTACTCAAACGACGGAACACACCCAAATATATATCGATTAAACGGTGTGGGTATGTAATAATAATAATTATTTGCCATCGTATAAAAACGTCCGCCGCGCCGTAATTATACGCCGCATATGCGTATATTATTATGATATTATACCTATACACACTCACTGCGATAACGCATAATAATATAATCATAATAACACACTTTCAGCGCCGTTATAATTATTCCTACCGTTACATACGCTCGTGTGAATACATGTACGAAATATATTTTACAGGGTTTTGGATGAAATCGGATATACTGACGATCGTCTACCACCGAATAGGCATACGTTTTGACACACGACGGGGGGTAGTATAGCGCGAACGCACAGAGATGTGAAAATTCAAGTGTGCGTTTTGATCCGAAAACGTTCGGATGTCATAGCTGACGTGTTATAGATATAAATATGTTTTGAGTTGAACGGCAAACATTTCTCACGCGAAATTACGGCTGACAGCTTTGTGTAAAGACTTTTGTGTACATAAATATATACGAAGAATAAAAACGTAATATTACAACGACTCTGACAGGTCGAAAACGAGATGGAAAACGGGATTTTTCGTCTGAAAAACTAAAGGTAATCATTCGAAGAAAATAATATATTATATAGGTACTGAGTGGTGTGTACCAGTGAACTTACAGTTTATACTTTACGTTATATGAAGGCATAATCGCACAAACCGAAATTATGTTGATTATGTACAAACTGATAATAGAATAAAATAAATGTTCGTCACTTCAATCAACTTCATCATCGCCACCGATCTCCTCGACATGATTACCTCCACCTTACCCCTTTGGACTCTCAGCATCATCTGTACACTTGTCATCTATTATCATACATATAATTATGTAATTTCATATCGTATAAACATCTCCCAACGGCAGTTGTTGCCGCGAATTTAATTAATACAAAGAATTAAAAAATATATGTTCTACCATAATCGTCAACTGTATATTTTTTTGTATAAAATCATTTCTGGTTTAAAAATATTTTCATCGGACACTCTATTAAATATTAATTGTATACCTACTAAACAAAATATTTTCGCGAAAGAAATTTAAAATAGACTTTAATGACTTTGCACGTATGTGCCAATGAAACAATGCTATAGCCAAAATGATGTGGTATGCCAGCAGTTAGCCTACACACATAGAAATACTATTGTTGATTTAACTTTTTACAATGTTGTTGACAGTGTAGTTGTTAATTAGACAAATTTTGTATTTGAATTAACACCAACAGGAGTATATTTAAACTATATGGTTTGACTATAGTTAATATTAAAATAACAATATACATATTATTATTTCAACTTATTAATATAGTTAATTTGAATATAATCTTGTTAATATAAAACTTTTATAGATTGAAAATAACATGAAATGTAATTATCTTAGCAATTATAATTTGTTTATTTTAACCAGCTAATAAATCATTCATTTTAACTGCAATTTGAGTTGAAATTGGCAATGCGCTGTTGTTATTTCAACTTTAATAGTGTTGTTTTAATCAGGGGCTGATGTTATCAATGATTGTTGAATTATTATTGTGTTAATATCTATTTTTAGCGCGAAAGAAGAAAACCACAAAATCGATACCAATTTGTAAACTAACTCGTTTACTCGTTTGCTTATCAGTGATTAAAGCCTTAATAAGTACGCCACTCGCATAGTCATTAGTCGGGAAATCGCAATTCTCTTCATAGTCTTGTTGAGTATAGACTTGTCAGTTGTCAGTGGTTTTAGTCAATTAATACAGTTACAACTTACATTTTTGATCACTGTTGTAACTTCTGTATAGTGTTGTGAAGTGTTGTTAAAATAAAATGAATACACTGGACGAATCCGTTGAGGTAAGATATTATTCAATTATAATCTATATGCTGTGACATAAGTAAGTACCAACGCTTTAAAATATTTATGACCTAGGTTCCTTACATTTTAACATGTTAATCTATAATATTATGTTTAAAATAAATTGTGAATAGGTATTTGGGTATACAATTAATACAACTTTTAATCTTTTAAGATATTTAGGACGGTCTAATATTATATTGTTTTTGTTGTAAATATTGGATTTAAATCTATAACCATTATGTAATTTTAGTATTTTCCATCACCGAGTAATGCTACTGAAGTTTTGCATATTATGACTAATCTACCAGATTGTTCAAATTCTATTTTACAAGATATATCATATCCTACAAGTCCATTGAGTTCAAATTTAGAAAAACAATTAGATAAATCGCCTTATTCCAACAACGCTAAATATGGGTCATATAAACCAATGACATGGACAATTGAAGTAAAGTTATCACTTAAGACATTGTTAGAACTATTTATGATAAAATTAACAGTATAATTTTCTTTATAGACAATGTTAAATCTATTGCACACAACAAATGATGGTAGGTACATTCTTGCAGATAGTGTGAAAAATAGTGGAAATTTATCTGATGATTCAAAAAATTTATTGACACAACTCTTAATTAACCATCTTTTACAAGACCAGCACAAGTATGTTCCTATGTTTAGATTTTTATAATTTGTTACCTTAAATAGTATCATTACTATATTATTAACTCATTAATAAGATTTAGGTACCTACAAACAAATATTTCTGATTGTAAACTCTTAAATGTTTCTTTAAATTATTTAAATTATTTTTTCATATTAGAATTTTGTTTTATAGAGGAAATGATTTGTTCTTCAGAAAAATTACAGAGCTGATAGTGGAAGTTTCAAGAAATCATGTCTTCGCCACTGAACTATAGGCAACAAGTATAATAATAATTTAAGATGTAACTATATAAATAGGGCCTATGGGTACTATGACAACAATAGTTAGGTAGTAATTTTTAGTAATGACATAGTAACATGAGTAATGATAGATAGGTATGAGTATAATGTCTCATAATAATGTTTATAGCAATTAATAGATAATAATATGAAAATGTTAATATGTAAACATTTTTCTTATGATTAAAAATATAATATTAAGAATTACATACAGCTAAACACATGAAATGCAATATTATGTAAAATTATATTATAAAAACATTCTCTTAAATACCATGTTTTTGTGTGATTCCATCATCTGAATAGGTAGTCGATAGGTAGGTAGGTAGTATAATCAACCCGGGGGTAGCGAGTTCGAATCTGAGTAGGTGGATTTGGTTGTAGCAATAAAGCCGTACTCTGAATTTTGCATTTTTTTACAAATTATTTTCAAAATGAATTTATAAAATATTTACGATAACATTAGATTGGTGTTGTTTTAAAATATTTGGCTATATCTTAAAATAAAACATAGAACACCCAATATAACAATAAGCTTGTAGTTAATATAAAATGTGTTGGTGTAGATTTGACAACTAATATGATAGTAAATCTAACTACATATGGAATTTAATATAACCAATAATTGTTGTTATTTTAACCTAATTTGGAAGTCAAGAGGACCAAAATAGCGGGATAATTTGGGAATCACGCTTAACAAACTACTGATGTTGTTTTAACACCAAACCAACCTTAGTCGGAATATAACGTGCACATGTGTATGAGATTAACTCAAATTGGTGTTGAAACTACAATAGTTTTCTATGTGTGTAGTAGTCTAATAATCCAAACGGCACCCTTGGCAAACTATATTACTCGTACCGTCCAGTCTACTGCAGTATAAGAGGTTTACTTACGTGTACACGCACACACGAGCGACCAAAAAACTTACTCATTTATAATACACGTGTATACAGGTACCTACACATAATAAATATATTGCCAAAATAAACCCGCGAGTCGCGACACTTTGACGACGACGATTTTACCGCGAGTACTATCTGTTTTGGACTGTCACGCGTATGATGATAAATATATTATATCAATTAAATTGTATCTTATCAAAAAAAAAAAAAAAACGAAAACTTTGTGTGCGTTAAAAAAAATCAACTGACCGAACGTTCAGTACACGACATATATAATTATAATATATGTCTCGTTCGCTCATTATATTACGCACACGACAATAATAATAATTAACCGCACGCCTGTTTAATTGTGCGATTACAACACGAGAGATAATTAAAAACGAAAATTATTACTATTGTCGTTATTTTTATTGTTATCATTACAAAACGACGGAATATAATAATAATAATAATAATAATATACACATATACATATTATACCGTCGCGTGAATGAGTGACACCGTGGAATTGTTTTACCCACGCCGCAGTAGTAGTCGTGGTCGTAACAGTAACAGCGGGCATCGTGCTGATTGTAGCGCATTGATTTGAAATACAACTGTATAATTGCTGCGAGTGTGCGTGTTCTCAAAAGGGGAGTGCGATGTATTATACAAATCGCACGACGGTGTGTATATATTATAATTTATAATAGAAGAGACCGCGAATGAAAACAACGACGCGTAAAACGCGAGTGGGCACTGGGCACCGGTGCCCGATGACGTGTAGGAGAATGGTATAATAATTAACGGGGCAGACGGCGGTGTTGCCGAACAAATTGCGATGCGACGACCGCGACGCAGGTATACGCGGTCAACCGTCGGGTATACCATTATTCATTAAACGGATGCGTATGCGTTGTTTTCGAATCTTTAGACCGCGCATCGGCGACGATAACGATATTATGACGTCCCAAAATCGGCCGAAAAACCGGTGCCGGGCGAGAGACGATCACTATCGACGGAAATCAAATATTTATACATTTTACGTTATATAATAATAGTTTAACAAAACGTGGCGTTGGTAATACGTAGCACGTTATATTATTGTGATTTCACCGTAGTGGACGCAAAACGAAAAATTATCAACTCGCAACCGTATGCGAATGTCGACGCACGCCAGACTAAAATACCAAACCGTAAATAACATTACGCTCGCTATTAGCGCGGTTTATAATTCGCTATTTACCGCAGTTAAAATACGATTAGACCTACACCATTGTTGTTATTGTAAAATGAATTTATCAATTATTTCCGGTACATTATTTCTAGTTAACGACTTATCTGATGGCCTTACGCACCGATACGGACTATTGCCTAAGTTTTAAGAATTGGGTAAATAAATTGCTGGGGGACTCCTTCCGACAAAATATAGTCATTACGTACATGTCATTTTCTATAGGTACACATTTTCTTGTTGCACCTAAATCTACAGATTTTAAACTAAATAAAATAAATAAATAGCTGCGATACAACGTGGTTTTACGATTTTCTGTGTAACTTTCTTTATTAATTGGTCAAGTAATGTGTGACAATAACAGACTTGAGTTTTAAATTTCTCATAATCTAGTTTCTGTAGAAAATTCAAAATAAAATAAATGATTTAAATGTTTGGCCACAGATGTATTATCTTAAATATTTTCAATACGATAAAAATATATGTCCAATTTTTGGTACATCCGTACGATGTTGATGTGAGAAGTGAGAACACTTAAAAAATAACAGTGCTCAAGCAACAAAAATGTTATGAAAAGCTTGCTCTAAGAAGAAACATAGGTACCTATACAAACCATGAAAGTAACACAAAAGACATTACGCAATTATTTAATCATAATTCCGATTGTCATAGTATAATACATTGAATACGATAAAATACGAATCTCATTTAAATTACAATTTATGGACCTTCGCACGCGTTTGTTTAACTTTTAAACTTTATAAATTGAAAAACACTAGCGATGAAAAAAACAGATTAATGTTGTTATTTACATTTTAAATGCAAATTGCACCTACCTTTTATAAAATGTATTAAAAAAAAATAGAATTTTAATTACAAAAATATACGAGTTTATATTATCTTATAAGATAAGCTGATCAACATAATCATTGGCATTTTAAATTAACGACAATTTCGTTGGATTTTAACATTTGTGTAATTATATTTAACAAGCTTCATGAATATTTACGAATAATTATTGATCAGTTATCAAATCATAATTAACGAAAAATAATAACACATAATGCGACTACTGACTATTTTTTTCTACTTTTTTTAAAATTTATAATTGCATTTTACGTATAGGTATTTTTTTTAATAAGCCATACAATTTCTATAAACTCAACAAATGATCATAATTCATTAAAATGTAAGTATTTTGACAGGTAATAATTTTTTTTAATTTTAATATTTGAACATTTTAGATCAGAAATTATATTTATGACTCAAATATTTACATTCTCTGTAGGTAGATTTTATCCTATTTTTATTTACGCAAACAAACAAATTTTAGAACTTGTAGATTTATGGCCAACAAATAGACAAAGTATGTCTTTGAATAATACATTAAAATACGTCAGGATAAACAAAAGATTCAATCATATTTTTTTTTAAACAGAGAACTTTTGGTAATATAAAATAATCATTTCGATAGATGTATTTTTATGACAGCAAAATTTCTGGAAACGTTTGACAGATCTCTTGACTTTAAACTTTGGTTCAGAAAATTGAGACGAGTCATTTTGACGTGTCTTTTTAGATTAATTTAGTATCCTGTTTACCAATGAAAATCATACAGTTCAGAAATTTCGTTGAAACTCCAAACCAAGACACATGGTGCAATTAAATTATTTAAAACAATGTGTACGTGTGTATTTATATGTTATGATGTTGAATATTAGTGGGAAATTTTAAAGAAGCTATTTCACTAAAAAATATTCAAACTAGATAAAATGAAAAAAAAAATTTTAAAAGACCAAATAATTACTAGAACAAAGCGATTCTGATGGTAACGCATACAGAAAAATAATCTAAGTTATGTTTGTAAGCTCAAACGAAATGATTCCACAGACAAATTTAATTAGGATGACCAAATGATTAATTTATACAATGTCTAAATATAAAATCTGATTTTGGACACTCAAAGTTCATGAGTGTATTTTAGAAAGTACACGTATTTTTATGACATTTAGACATAATGTATGTACCACTAGTTACAGATTTAATACGTTAGACGTTTATTACTATTGTTGTTCAATACAAATTCGTCACTATGATTTGAAAATTGTTTGGAAAAACATGGATAATCGATTACAACCAAAAACGATAATATACTCATCAATAAATTTGAAGTAGGTCTATCTCCAATAAAGTAATAATAATTAATTATCAATAAACTTCAACTATTATCACTCAACACGTTCAATACTATAGTAATATTTACACGATATGTTAATTAAGACAGCAGCTCGAAGAAAATTTAAATTATATACTTAACGCCTCATCATAAAAGGTGATGTTGTACAGTGAACAGAATTATTATTACAATATTACATAAAGTAGGTAAATATAAACAATTTAAGTTTATAGTTAATAAAAATAAAAGTAAAACATAAATCACCGAATTTTGTGACTATCAAAATCCTCTACATGTATACAACGCATTATATATGCATCATGTAATGTCAAATTGTCAACAATTACACCTACCCCTTTCAGATTTATTTATTATTATTTTTTTTGATTTAATGATCGTACATGATAATGTTTAACGTACTTACTTAATTATTTTTTAAGTTTATACCTATAAACAGCTATTTAAATTTATACCTGCCAGCCACAGCATATACAATGAAGTTTAAACACAGCCTACATACTACTTTTATATAGATGGTATTTATGATAATTATTATTATAAAAAAGAGGATTATTGAATATATAACATTTGAACTTCCTAATACTAGCATTGAATAAAATCAACAATAAACTCGACATCCCTTCATAATAATGTATAATATAACTATATAGAGTATGATACATAA